TCTCAGGTTTGTCAGATACAAGTTGACATCATTTTCCAAATGGTCACACGTAGCTGATGACCTTTCCAGGTATCCCGTCCCCTCACCCACTGATGCTCTCCGGCACTCATCGGTGACTTGTCCCTGTGGGCTCACACCTTCTTTTCCCCTTTACTCTTACGTGTGGTTTTGAGAGACCAGCTAGCACGTATGATAAATATGAAAGCCTCTATGTCTCTATTGTCAAAAGTGTGCTAACAAGTTTACAGGGCTACAGAAAATGAGTCTCAGTTCTTGGGGGGAAATGGAGCTTAATCCAACATGTGGTGTGGTATTTTCTTTAAAGCTGAGGTCATGACTCAAGTGGGCTGGGTGTAAAAGGAAGAGAGGAGGGGGCACTGGTGGGTGGAGAGGATACAGCCGGATGGCTAACTGAGCAGAGCTGGCTGGAAATCTGGACTCGCTGCTATCAGTCTTTCTAGGTGAGCAGGAACTGCTTTGCCTCTGGGATGCTCTGATATTCAGATGTTGGCAAGTGTGCATATCTGCCCCTACAATCCACTTATCCAGCCCTCTCACTTCAGTTCATGACCCCAGAGGTTCCCCTCATGGACCGTCTTGACCTGAAGTAACTCTAACCTCTCTTACCTGCTTTTTCTTCTCTGACACTTACCAGTTGTTTCTCTCTGTATTAGGTTGTATTTCTCATTGTAATTATTGCCTGTCTCCCCTATACAAGGATAAGTTCCAAAAATGCAGAACTTACTCCACTGCTATTGAATCTATGAATAAATAAAACATTTTCCACAATGGTGTAGGACACTGATGACAGGAACAATGCATTTTCTCCAGATAATATCAATTGTGGCTCCTGTTCCAAAGCTCTTCGCTCATGCGCATGACTGCGTCTCTGAGAGCGTCCTTCAACTGTCTGGCACTTGTTAAGAGCACTCTCTCGCGTTCTGATGCATCTCTGTATGTTGCAGCGCCACAACTGGAAAATGCACACCTTAGAAGCTGGAGCTGTGGTCTGTGTTGCTTTTCATGCTTTATCCAAGCGGGCATCTGATAAATATTTATAGTTGATTTCCTCAGGCATACCTACCCGCCAGTTAAGCAAACAGGGGTTAAGATGTGACAAGAAGGTAAGCACTGGGCAAAGTGAAGTATTCAAAACTACTCGGTTTTAACAAATACATAGCCCATATTATGATAAATGAGTCCTGGTGCCTCGTTACTGTCCCTTAAGGACAGCACCATGCTTTGGGGTGGCGAGCCTTAATGGCTGGTATAATTCAGAAGTCACAGGCCTTGTGCATTTATGCTGAAAAAGGCTTTTGTAAATCAGGTCCATTAAACTTGCAAATACCAGTATGGCCTTATGCAAACTAGTGCCAATATGAAAAGAGGACTCTATTGCTTGAGGCAGGGTGTTTTAGTGAAATAGATTAGTGTCATTTAAAAATTCTTATTGTAGGTGCCTGAGAACTTCGGTTCATCCTACATGACTACTTATCCCAAACCAGGCAGTGTATCCAGTGTGCGTGTTTTTCACTTTCCCCTCTACCACACTACCGTCCTTTTGAATGTGGGATAGAAGTGATGGCATGACCAGAGTGAGGGTTTCTGGTACCCGTTGCTGCAGGGGTTTCATGGAATTATGACGGAGAGTGAGGCTGCCGATCGCTGCTCCTTCCTTTTCTACCTGGTATGGTCAATGTTGGCAAATATAGAATGGGCAGCTAAACCAAACACACTGCCACTGAGTCACCATAGAGGACAGACTGCCCCACAGGTTTCCCAGCTACAGAAATCTCATGGACTCCACTGCCATCTTTCTGCCAGTCCTTCTGGTTGGCATCTGAGAGCTTAACCAACATGCCCTCAGGGATCGTTTTTGCAGACTTGGTGATATGAGAAGGAAGATAAGAAATGCGCTCCCTGTACCCTGTGCACCAAGCTTGTGCCTGGCCCTCGCTCAGTGACCGTCTCCTACAGTGGGCAGTGCAATACTCGTCGTCTCCTCAGATGTCACTTCGTCCTTTTGGAGGCTGAAGACAAGATTACAGTAAACTGGTAAAGTCACTGCCCCTGAGGTCAATGCCACACCACAGCCACTGGGGGGAGCAGTGGGAAAAGACGTCCTCCAGCTTCTTCAGTTACTCCACTGCCTCCCAAGGCCCAAGGTAGACCAGTCAGCAGGGATGGAGATGTCTACAGTCATCTTCATCTGAAACAAGACTTTTACTTACCGATAGGAACTTCTCTGTGGACAAGTCAATTAGCAAGTCTATGGGTAAGTAATAAGGAACTGCGCTACAATCCCAAAGGCATGTAGTTCAAAGCCACCAGCTGCTCCACAAGCCTCTGAAGACCTGCCAGAGGCCCATGCATGGGCTGATTCCAACTTGACAGCACACAACAACAACATTAATGTTTATTCAGTAAAATTACAAATCACAAACCAAGACTAACTAATGACCTACAGGGAAAGTGGAATGAGGTGGAGAAGCTGTTTCCTTGCCTGGGTACCTGATGCTCGGGGGACCCGACCCACTCATCTCGTCACTCTACTCCCAAAGCCATCAGGGCTGCGCACTCTGAGTGTGAGCACTAATCCAGCTCCAGAGCATCTCATCCCTTAATTCCAGTATCGATGGGGCCTTCTCCACCAGACATCTACAAGACAGTGAGTTTAAAAACAAAACTTACTTTATCCTGCTTACTCACAATTAGACCTTCTAGCATTAAATTTCTACATTATTTACAGCTCATTAGTTCAGTAACCAGCTGAGTGATTGTGCTGTAGCAGAAATAAAGCGTGTGACACAATCCTTCCAAGGGGAGAAGCGTGATGACATGCATTCTAACAAATGGGAAGGACTCCTGGTGGGGCAGTGGTTAGGTGTGTGGTTGAGAACCAGAAGACTGGTGGTTTGAACCTCCCCTCTGGCTTTATCTGTGAGAGCATGATCTGGTGATGCACCCACATAAAGAAAACAGCCTAGAAAACCCTGTAGGGTGGTGCTGCTGTCACACGGGGTCACTCTTGGTTGAAAAGTAGACAACACCTAACACCAAGAGCCCCCTGTAGAGAGAATAATAACAAGCTCATTCCATGTCACGGTCAGGGAGGACCTGACAGAGGAGGGGACATTCGAGTGAAGACTCCATACTGTTCCTGAGTAATGTCTGATGTGTCTTCTTCCTGAGCTCCTCACTGGAGAAGGTTCTCTAGCAGAATCTTATTCTTACGTGTTTGAGTCTTTCCCACAGTGGGCACACATGGCAGACACGTGTTCAGGTAACTGGCTAAGGTCTGGCTCAAGGCATCACTTGCCTAGGAGCCCAAGTAACAGGTCAGAGGAGAGGGGAGCCCAGCCATCAGGCAACGCAAGTCTCTAGCACGAAGTCTAACTGGCTTTGTCTTGGGGAAGTCCAAGTTCTGCAGAATGCCTCTTCTTGTCCCCAGGAAGACCTTCCCCACTGTAACCACTGCAGGGACAGAGCCTCCCAACTGCATTTCAGATTGTTAACTGCAGGCAGTCTGGCTACACCTGCAGTAGCAGCAGCATCTTTTTCATAAACATAAGAGCACTTATTATTTGCCTGATCCTATTCTAAATACATAGTATGTGGTTAATGCATTTATCCTCCCAGCAGCCGTTTAACAGAAGTACCCTAGGGTAGGTCAGACAGTGTTTAACTGTCAGTTGGACCCCACCCATCCTTCTGATGGTGGTCACAGCACGCTGGTCTTCTCCTCTCCAGGATGTGGAAGTACCACACAAGGACAACTGCCAGAACAAGAGGAAAGTGTTCACTTCACTGGGGGGGGTGGGGGGGGTGGGGAAACTGCCATTTACTTGGTTTTACGCTCTCCCATCCAAGACCAAGCTGATCTCTAAACAAGCATCAAACCCCAGAGCTCATTACCATCAGTGTGAGCTTTAATAAGGTGAACACTACAATGATGTACAATTACATTCTAATAATTCAATGCCTAAGAGCCCTGTAAAACAATTGCAGTGGTCCAGGATTATCACAGTATGCAAATGCACCAGGAAAATCATTACCTACTTAGTCCCTTTCATTTCGGTGGGTTTAACATGAGAAGGATGAGCCACGCTACAAGATGAGATTTCATTTTCAGGCTGTAGTAACCAAGCACATAAAAGCCTGAATCTGTCCCAATAGCTTCTGAAAGATTTTCCCCATAGTGTCAGAGGCAAAAATAATGAAATCTTGCAAATGTACAGTTAATAGGACCCCAGTGGACACTAACTTCAAAAATGCATGGTCTATAAGACATTAAAGGCTTGATTTTAGTTTCTGCACTGTTCCTGTTAATAACAATGTCTAATTAAAACATCTGTAAAATACTGATAGTTTTAATTTTACATAAAATTTCCAAAACAACTGTTACACAGTATAATAGGTATCTGCAATGAATAGGTTATTAATGGAAATATTATTTTAAATTAAAATCAGGTTCTAAATTTAAATTAGTCATCTCTGGCTAATGAAGAGAAAAAGAAGTCACCCGTGCTGGGAATAACACAGAGCATAATCTAGTTTTCTACATCTGTTACAGCAAAGCCACTCAATCACTTGGGCTAAAGGACAGTTCACTTTGCTGCATCAGCCTTCGACTCCATGGATTTCACAGCTGAGCTCAATATTAAAACGACAGCCGAATGCACTGTTCAATGTATTACTTCACAATTTTAAAACAACATTCAACCTTATTCATTATCTGAATCTCCCTCCTTCCCTCAGCCTCAGAGAATACTATTCCCCACAGTACTGTCTCCCTCCCAGTCCTGCCTAACCTGATGAATATTTTAAAAGGAATGGCACAAAAATCTCACAATGGCTCCCTTACTTTGGGTCTCATCTTCGTTTACAAAAGAAAACAATAGGGATTAGCAAGGCTTAGTGGCTGGCTGCAATTCAATACCATTCTTTCTAATTAATGCACAATAAGGAGGGTTAAGCCCAGGCAGCATGGGATGGAGGGTTAAGGGATTCATTCCACACCATGACAGGCAGCATCTCAAGTTGCTTCAGGTTCACAGAAGATGTTGGAGAATGTGGTCCACAGCCTGAGGAAAGCTCTCACAAGTCAAGTAAGGAGGCGGATTAATTTTTCCTTCATCTGCTGCTCGATACTTCCCTGGAAGGAAAGGAGAGCCAGTGAGCAGTGGCGAGAGCACGAACCATGGCCTGTGAGCCCTGGGTCTGCAGAAGGCCACCCTCACAAGGACCAGAGTCAAGAGCTCTTGTCTCCCGAAGCACCTCATACCGAGGCTGCAGGGTGCAGTGAGGCATCCAAAGCAATGGACACTGTTCCCATTTGGCTTTGTTCTAGGTCTTCCAGGCCTATGGACAATCACCTGACAGCAAAGGTTCCCTTCAAATCTCACAGCTGATGAAATAATTTTCTTCCTCCCCTAGCCCTGCAGTACAGTGACGGTGATTAAATCAATGCTCTTAAATGGAAACCCAGACCCCAGAGGGCAGGGGCCTTGTCAGCTCCTAAGAGTGACTGCAAACTGCCTGTGCTGCTGCCAAGCAGAGACCCCAAGTGAGGGCAAAAGACTGGGCCTGGGGCAGGGCAGGGCAGAGGGAATGATGGATGCTGGCAGGCCTTGGGCCAGGCTGCACGGCGGGGCGCTCAGAGGCAGGCACACTGCCCAACTCTCTGGAATGGAAAACAGCGACTGTTCCTCCGGGTTGGCACACAGTTTAACACCTCAACCCTGCAGAGCGGTCCTTCCACACTGCGAGCTTCTCAAAGTGCCAGTCAAATGATGTGAGCTCCTAATTCAGAGGCCAGCCTCTCTGGCAGTTCGATTCTCTTCCCTTGTGATTTCCAGCCTCTGAAACCTGGTGGATGGTCAGCTATGAGTTGGTTGTGACTCGATAGCAACAGGGATGAGAAAGAGTTCTAAAAGAGTTCTGCTGGTGTAATGCCTTGTGTGTTAGTGGTTACTAATGAAAGACTAGCGGTCACAAACGAATCCACCAGCCACTCTGAGGGAGAAGGGCACAGCAGTCTCGTCCCATAAAGATTTCTAGCTGGGGAAACGACGGAAAGTCGCCTTGCATCAGAAGTGACTTGATGACAGTAAGGCTTGTTCCTTAAAATACCAAACCAAACCAAACCAACAAAAGACCCCAAACAACGTAACTACTGAGGAGGCCTGGTGGCATCATGGAGAAGCACTCAGCTGCCGGATAACAGCTGGCAGTGTGAAGTCTGAACTTTTCGGCGGTTCTGCAGGAGAGAGACAGCAGTCTGTCACTGTAAAGAGTGCCAGCTTGAGAAACCCCACAGGACAGCTGTACTCTGTCCTATAAGGTTTTTGTGTAGGAATCAACACCACAGTATTTTAATTGGTACCAAGGAGGCCCTGGGTCGTATGAATGGTCAAACCCCTGACTGCTGACAGAGAGGCTGGCAGCTGAAACACACCCAGAAGACGCCTTGAGAGAAAGGCCACAGCCTTGAAGAAGACAGCCAGCCCTTTCTCCTGCAGTGCTTCTGGGTAGCTCTGAACTACTTGTGCCACTTTGACATACGGGAAGGACTTGAATTATGCATTTTTGGGGGGCTGGCTTTGCAAGTGAGTTTTCTCTCTCCTTTGTGGCAAAGATGATTCAAGGGTCCCCTTGAAAGGCTGAGGGCTCTGTGATCTCTGCAGACGGTTCCTTTAAGCACCGTGTACTCACCCTCTTTTAGGGGGAGGCTTACACAGAAGATACATACCAGTTTTCACCAAGATGCCCAGCATGCCAACATTCTGAGCCCCACCAACATCATCCCTGCAATCCTAGAAAAGCAGAAAACAGGCATTTAGTCCAGTGTCTTGAGTCAATTAACTTGGCAAAACAATCCCCACCAACTGATGAGACTTAATGACGCGGAGATGGTCCACTGTGACCTCTGGTGACTGATACCTAACTCTCCGAGGGCGCCTATCCTGTTCAGAGTGTCAGCATCACAGGAGTAAAAGTGTGTAACAGAGTAGTTATAAGTCTTTGTAGCCAAGGACAAAGAGCAGAGTTACAACTCAGTGTGTTTTAACACACGAATACCTATGTATACCTAGGTTAAAACTGATTATGGGAAATAGCACTTCTCCCATTTGGTAGCTTTTAAGATATATGAGACAACTGTAGTCAGTGAGTAAACTCCATTCAGAAGAGACCTTTTCTGCTACCCATGGAATGTATTATCCTTACTTCCCACGCAATTTGTTCTCACAGGTGGAATCAAATAAAATCCGATTACTTAAAGAGACAGTGCAGCTTTCTAATCTTCACACGAATTCTGAAGTCTCTAGGTTCAGATATTTTTCAACCATGCATTACCCAGGAAAGTCACATAAAGAGGAAAGGTGTGACTGAAACAGATGATTTCTCAAAATACTCTCCAGTTTAAGGAGTATCCTCTTGGATTTCAGATGAATAAATACAGCAGTAGATGATGAAGTCTATTCCTTCCGCTCCAGGTCAAGAAAGCATCCTTTTAGTGGGTGTCAAAGCCGGGAGTGGTTTCTGATACTCCCAGACAGGCTACGTCTTAGTGATGGAGATTTAGGCATGGAGAAGTACCGTTCTGGACTTCAGTTCTTCATCTAGCAAGTGAGGAGGTCTGGATAGACCCTTCCAGCCTAAGGCACTGCCATACTGTGGGAAGTCGAATATAAAATTTAATATTAATAACAAGCCAAATGCTGTATCAGGATATGAGGGAGGCGTAATCCAAGCTGGAGTTCACCTTAACACACCAAGGCAATCCTTAAGGGTTTACCAGATTCTTGCATTGTATTTGCTGACCACTCCCCTCAAGTGGAAGGTTTTCAATAGAAAGAGCTTGGCTTCATTTGCATTGAATTTTGTCTGTGATTTACTTCCTGATAATTTTCAATAAAGATACAGGGAAGTTGGAATCTGGGCCGTCAGTCGTTGGAACTGCTGTCCCCCTGTCTATCCGCTCTCTGTTTTATCTCATTCCTGGTTGTCTGTCTCATTATTAATAATTATAAAAATACTTTATTCAATGTGTGAACATTGAAAAAGTCATCGCCACCTCTATCACAAGGGAGTGGAGTTCCCCAGTTCTTTTCTCACTATGGCACATAAGAACAATAGCATTCACTTTGCCCAGTGTCCTAGAGTAAGCTGAGAGCCAGAAGTGGCCAGCCTGGACATCTAATTGTCACAGGCTCAAGCCTACCATTCAGTGCTGGGGGAACTGGTATTGATAGCTACTTGTGGCACAAGATTGGGAAGTTCGTGCATAAGGTTACAGTAAGGGGAGAAAACCTGGCAATTGTTCTTGCTTTTAGGTACCACTGAGTCTGAACCAACTCACAGCTGACCCTCCTGCAGGTTTTCAGAGGCTGTAACTGACAGGAGGAGACTGAGTCCTTTTCTCTTGCAGAGCAGCTGGTGGATTCGAACCATGTGCCTCTGCAGTCGCAGCATAGTTCCTCACCACTGGGTCATCAGTCGAGGTTCTCTTTCTATAAACAGTATTTAGAAATGTAGATTTGTGTAGGAATTATCAAGAAGACACATAAAATGTTTAAGTGACTTTTCACCTAAGTGGTCTTTCGTAGGGTATACGGCCTCCAAACTAGGAAAAGATGGCAGAAATCATGCACATTTCAGTCCTTTAGGAGAATTTGATGAACATCTTCCCCAGGGAAGCTGGTGCTTCAGATGGGCTCTCACGATTGCCCGCTATTATCAGTACCCGAGAGCTACATCCTGAAACACTGGCTCCTGGCGGCTCTTGCTCGTGCCAGGTGAGCTCAGGGCGGCTGCCCAGCTCCTGTACTCACATCACCTATCATGACGGCCTCCTCGGGCTCACAGCCCGTGCCCCGCAGTGCCTCCAAGAAGAAAGTCTTCTCTGGCTTCCCCACAACGATGGCTCTGGTGTCAGTGGCGTACTCCAAGCCCGTCACAAACGGCCCGGGCCCCAGCGCTAAGCCATCTTTCCTCTTGTAATACCTGGCTTTGTGGATTGCGATCAGAGGAGCCCCTTCCAGGAGTAACCTAGAGAGACCAAGAAAAGGGAAACCAGTGAAAAGCTTTGATGACTAGGGAGGAACGTCAGACTAACAGAGTAGTTTTATTCACAGTCACAGAAACAAACAGTGTCTTATTAACGTTTAATGACTTGCGTCTTCTAATGAATTCAAGAAGAACTGCTGGGAATTGCACTCAGATACACTAAAGAAAGGTGATAGATTATTAAATTTGGGATTGCTTCAACCTTTTACCTTTCGTGGTTTCAGACACTTTACCCAAATCACCAGGGAAAGAAAATTAAGAGAATTAAAGCGAAATAAGACACTCAAGGGAAGAAGTTTAACTTAATGAAACAAGTTGTTTCAACCTCCCAAATGGTAAGCAGGAGGCTCTCGGGCCTTTTACAACACTAGCCAATCACTGCTGCAGTAACGTGTTCACCTACCTCCTACTTCTGTTTGTTTTACTCCAAAATCTAAGTTTCTTTTTAATTTAGAAATTTAGTAGAGCATTTTATAAACCGTTTCTTCTTTATCTCGTTTTCCTAACTTTTTGATGACTTTCAGTATCACTGTGTAAATGAGGTCATCTTCCCCAAGGAACACAGCAATGTTTAAGGGAGAGCCTTTCTGCGAAGCCCCTTTGTTGTTACTGTTGTCGGGCGTTAGTGAGTCGACACAGACTCTCCACAACCCATGGGACAGAGCAGATCTACGCCACAGGGCGTTCTGGGCTCTACTCTTCATGTGGGTGCATAACTGGGTCTTCCATGGAGCTGCTGGTGGGTCTGGTCTGAACGGCCAGGTTTTGTTTGGCGGTTCCTAGTGTCTTCAGGTTATGCCTGGAGGTTGCAAACCAGGGCTCCTGTTGAAGAGGAGACACAGCTCCACCCTTCACCCTCTCACCTCCTCTGACACCCGTCCCTCCCATGGTACTCTCTCCTCTGCTGGGTTCGCTCTCAGGTCTGTGATGGTTAATACTGTGAGTCCTTCCGTGTTCCTCTCTGTAATCTAACTACACCAGGTGGAGTGAATCCTGAGCTCTCTGATGTTAATGAAGCAGAACTAGAGGTGGTTCAGTAGAGATTCTTCAACCTTATCTGATTAAGAAGTCTCCTTCTGTTTAGCCAAAAAGCTAGTGTTAGAATGCAGAGAGCATGGTGCTGAGCAAACCAACCCAGTCTCCTAAGAGTAAGACCATTAGTATAAAAATAGAAGGATAACCAGTAAGATGTGGATAAAAGTCCAAAAGGGGAAGTGGCAGGGGCTGAGTGTGGGAAAGGGAGGAAATCACTGGGTTTGGTGGGCAGGAATGGGGTCAATGAAGGAATGAGGGGAGCGCCAATGGGGACCTGAAAAGATAGGGTAATAAGTAGGCAGAGATGCATGTACATGAGCGATCGTTTGAAACATAATGTGAATGTAGGCATGTGTGGAATGCAATGTACATGAAGGATACGCAAAGTACAAAATAGGGGGGGATGATTACCTATGGTGTAGTGGGGGCAATGCTACTGTTTCTACCTGCTCTACCTCTGGCTATCTGCTCATGGGCTCCAGACTTGAACCAGTGAGTGGCCTGTTGTACTTGCTGACTTTGGACTTGTCAGTCACCAAGGCCACTTCCTCTAACTTTACAGCAGTGAGCAGAGAATCAACATTAGCTCAAGGCTCATGTTGCTCCATCCCCTCTAACTCGTTAACAATTCTGACACCAGCCGCCCTTCCTACAGGAGTCTCTGCTACTCTGCTGGGCTCCAAGATTCATTGCAGTAGCTACACAGAACCCACACATAAGGAGTTTGTTAGGAAACTAAAGTGTTACAATTCAGGATCAGCAATGACTCATGACAGAGTTCTTCACTCAGAGGGGTGTCTTCTCAACCATGTCTTGACACAAGTTCTCTCATCCTTGGCTCAGCCATTGCTCTGCTCAGGCAGGTGTCGGAAAGCTCTTTAGCTCTGCCAGAAATGCCTAGAGGTACCTCACGCTGCCAGTCAGCCTCAGCGTAAAGGTGTTCAGCTCTCTGGCTCTAGGGGTTGGCAAACCCTGCTTTGCCAAGGTGCCTTGAGGCACCCCTCCTCCAGGAAGCCTTCTGCCTGGAGGCTCTCCGCTCTCTGGCTCTAGTTACTGGCATGTCCACTGTAACTGCCTTGATCCTTGGGCCAGGATATCTATCGCCACGTCCTACACCATCTCTGTTATTACAGTGGTCTGTCGCCTAAATCTAGGAGATCCAGGGGAACCTGCATCCAAAAGATGCACCTGCTCCCTTCTCTTCTTTGTAATAAGGAGGTCCCTTCTGCTTGGGGATAGCTCTCTTTTTAGCCCAGGTGAATGGCAAAACTAACCAATCCCTTTGTTCTCAGGGTTTCATATGCCTTATTTGCATAATTAGTAAGGAAGGCATCAATTCCCTTGATGGGGCCACAAGCACCTTACTTGCAGAGTCCTGCTACTAAACCATAGAATGTGCCTCTGGAGATTCAAATCACCAGCAACTCTGTAGATAGGCAATCTCCTGCCATGCTGTTTTATAGGCTTGGAAACCCCCTGGAGGGTCAGCGACAAGTTAGTTCTGGTTTCACTGCAATGAGCTTGAGCTTTAACTCAATCATTTGATAGGATTTATAAGACCATGGCTAGGGAGATAACAGAACAGGAATCCCTTGTACTAGTAGAACAAATTCCCCAAACCCTCAAGGACTTTTCAGTATAGGTATGTGTTTCTTAACATCCATTAGGCGTTCTGTGGAGAAGAATGTTATGTGACTTGAGGACACAGTGTGAGCACCACACACCATATAAAACCTAATGAAAGGATGCTTTGGGCCGTCCTATTGCAAGTCCTTTTGCTGGTGGAAGTGGGCAGAACTGGTGGCAGCTGGAGTAGAGCAAGAGGAAGCAAATGAGTGGGGAGTGAAGCACATGCTGCCTGCCCAGTGTTCTGCCGATCTGAGCAGTAGGAGCGGCCCAGACAGACAAAACCTAAGAACCAATGCCCAGAGCCATGTCCAGTGCCCATCCTGCCTGTATCCTACCAGCAGGTCAGGGCTGCAAGATCTAGATTTGAGATTTAAAAGATAATTATTGTTATGTGCCATCCAGCTGACTACAACTTAAAGTGACCCTATAAGCAATAGCTCTGAACCCTGCCCTATTTTGAGCCAATCCCACTGTCTCTGACATAACCCTATTGCCACACTCACTGTGTGTCCTTGCCTGTACTGTCGCTCTACCCTTCCAAGTATGATGCCTTTCTCCAACAACTGGTCTTTCCTGGCCATGTGCCCAAAGTATGTCAGACAGAGCTTCAAAACTCTTGCCTCCAAGGAGCAACCTGGTTTTACCCTCTCCAGGACAGACCTTTTTGTACTCTTGGCAGTCCATGATATGTTCAATCTTTTCTCCAGGACCACAACATAAAGGCAAAGAGGGGAAATAATAAACAAAAGGAGAGCTGCTTTTTCTTATAAAGCAAAACCAAATGCTCACCTTATGAGACCATGGATACATATGCATTAGCTGTTGTTGTCAGCTGCCACTGAGTTCCCTACGACTCACAGCAACCCTATGAACATATGCAGTCAGAGCTTGTCCAAACAGATGCCAAGTAACACGTACTGGGACTAATCTCCCTAACCTCGTCTAAGAACCATGCCTGTCAGTCCCAAAAGGTAGCCTTTAGTCGCTCAGCAGAAATGCCATGCACATATTCTTATCCAATAGACTGTGAGACACTACAGCTTTCTTAACTGCTATTAACCAATGTAATAAACGATCTCACTAGCTTAATTTACTCTAAGACATCCACTTAGTTAAAATATTTAGTACGTCCATCGAGGAAGAATTCATCACATCTTACCCTTCACAATTATGAGTAATTAAGCGCTTGACTATGAAACTGCTAAATTATTCTTGTCAGTGGGCATGGAAATGCCTTCCTGTGGGAGATGCAGAATTCAGACCCTTATGATTAAATATTTTATCAAGCAAAACCCAATACTGGAATATTACGGGGCCTTACTATTAGTTACTACAAACTGCTCATAGTACAGGGCAGGTCCTTCAGATTTAATCACTAATATTCATACAAATGTATTTCTGAAAGCAGACTTGAAATCCAATGGTGAGGAATCCTGGTGCAGCCACTGCTGGCCTTGATGCACCACGGCTGGTAGCAATGTGATGATAATGGGTGATTTATCTCCCGCCTCCTGTCACCCCACCCCCAACCCCATTTATTTGCTATTCTACCACGGAACTGGAGTTCTTTATGCAACAGACCTCAAAATTGCTTTCCACTTATATAGCCAAACTAAAAACTCATTTGATTTAGCTTTGTTAATATTTTATTATATATTAACTGAGGATAAGACTTATGAGCTTGATGGATGTCCGTACTTAATTCCTAGGCAGTACTTGAGTGCCTTCCCGGGAAGGGCTGAGACTGTGAGTTCCTCTCCATTTCTCTAAGTGGAAACTGGTTCTCCACAGGCTCGGGCAGAGATACACTTCTCAGGGAAGAGGCTACTGCTTTTGTCGCTCGTCACACAGTATAAGCTTTATTGAATCCTTGAGGAGCCAAGGCATATTCAGGCTGGAGTGAAAGGGAAAAGTTTTCCAAGACAAAGGTTAAAAGATCTTTGTTATTTAACACTATTTTTAAGATATTAAAAATAGACACTCTGGTATTTAAAGTGGTTTTTATATTTACCAGATACAGAAACAAAGGATTGATTGTTTTTGTAACTAGAAATGTTCCAACAGTGGCACATCTGAGCATTTTCTAACTATAAGCTCACTGATGTACAAAACGAGGGGGAAAGGCACACAGGAACATATCTAGCTGTAAATTTTGTTCACAAGGAGCACTGACAGAGACTACAGCCTCTTAAGGATGAGGCTCCTGGCTATACATTTTAAGGTACTTAGGGAATTAATTTTGTAAAGGCTAGCCGCCAGTGCGTAGGGCCATATATAAAAATATCAGAAAAGTGAGAAATAATTTAAATTTGGCACTG